GACAGACTGGCGACCTGTCCAGAGTGTACCCCGCCTCTCGCCCTATGACAGCTGGGATTGGCTCCAGCACCCCCCGCGACCCTGAAAAGGATAAGTGGTAGCGAATGGATGGATGGATGGATTTTTCTGTCACTAAATTCGATATTTTTAATGTGGAGCCACCTCAAACAAGGAGAATGTTTGACTGCAGCAAATCTTCTCTAACCAAGCTTTAACAACATCAGGTGACATGGGCAAAGAAAATATTGGCTTGATAAGCCTAGACAGACTTTCTATTTTAGTTTGTAGGATTCGACCAAAAACAGTGATGTCTCTTTGCAACTGTTGGCATTTTTCTATATTATTCATAATATTCTTCTCCTTGGACACTGCTTTATCTTTAGAAATATCCCCAAATATTTCACTTACATTTTTAACCTTTACGTTATACAATGGCTGCAGAGTTAAGATTTCATCCATCCACCGATTCGCTCCCGCTTATCCTTTTCAGGGTCCCGGGGGGCGCTGGAGCCTATCCCAGCTGTCATAGGGCGATAGGCGGGGTACACCCTGGACAGGTCGCCAGTCTATCGCAGGGCTAAAACACAGAGACAGACAACCATTCGCACTCACATTCACTCCTGCATTTATCTATATTTAACTGTAACCCTAAAGCTTTAAAACAGTGTTTATAGTTCTTAATGATGCTGAAATTTGATTTGTTTTCTTTTTTAAAATAGTATCATCAGCCAACTGACTTCCCGTTACATTAATCGCGTCTACTTCGTTGTTTGCAATGAAAATACATAACATCTAAAAAAAAGAAAAAAAAGAAAGAAATCTTCTTTCATTTAGTAAATCACTCCAGACAATCAGATCCTAAACGAGTCGTATGCTATTGTGTATTGTGGATGTCGTCCTCTCAACAAACCTGATTGATTCACAGATTTATTGATGAAAGAGCTCTTTTTAATCTGGCAGCAATCGATACGGCAAGAATTTCATAATCTGCGTTTAACAGTGTAATTGGCTTTTAATTATTTAAAAGGCCAGGTTTAGGAACTTCTCCAGGTTTATGAATTAATGTAATCAGTCCTGGTTTCATTGGGAGCTTCTTTCTCTCTGCAAAAAGAAATATCTCCACACATTAAGCTTCTTAGATCTTTCCAAAGAAATCGATCAAAATGAGCCGTGAGCCCATCTGCACATGGAAAAGTATTTAAGACCATCTTGAAGTGAGAAAAAAGAAATGAGTGAGCTTGATGGCTAAGAATGACACGATGGTTCTGACTTTATCATCCACGAAGGTTACTGACTACTGTGCTTTATGTGACAGTGATGACAATCGGCCGCACGCACTTCAGCTTCGCCGAAAGTTACTCCAAGGCGACCGTTTCATTACTGGATCATCCGAAGGTCCACGGAGACTGCACTAAGAAACTGGCCTACAGGAGCTAGCCGCACACGTCATCCAGCAACAACTAGCTTTCATGTTCACTTACCTCCGTTAGCTCTGCTGCACCAACCTTTCCCACATGTAACAACAATTTGAGGTGGCCTGCAGGTGGCGCTAGCTCTGCTAAATCAATTCCAGCAATCCGGTTCGGAAGGTCAGAGAGCGGGCTCACCTGAACTGTTGAAGCACAGCCAAAGACCCCAGATCCAGGTCCAACCAGCTGGCGCACGGAAACAGCTCCTCTACTCTTCTTCGTCTTCCACACTTTCCTACTCATTCCCGTCTTCCAAACCGTTCCTTCACTGCCCCCTGCTGGTTTTACGGCAGCTTCTTCAATGCGTATCCTCCGTTCCTCTCAGCGGCTCGTCCAGTCGAAGACACGTGACCAGAGGAGGCCGCAGGCATTTAACCAAGCTAGGAAGCCTCGGCAGCAGTCTCTCCAGACCACGCAAACAACTAGAGAAATAAGAGCTACAGTCATACGTCTGTGTAAATGTTCAAGCAGGCCCGGCCCTAACCAATCTGGCGCCCTAGGCAAGATTTTAGGTGGCGCCCCCCTGCATCGGCAGTGTTAGTGTATGTACTCACAAGAAACCGAATAGCTTTGTCTTTGACCATTTTTTTTTTACTTAAAGAAAGCAAATTCA